CACCTTTAAAGTTGATAAAATAATTTGAAAATTGGCCAGTTTACTAACGAATCATTGAAATAGTTGAAATCGGAATTTGAGCCAAGTACGATGCTTTATAAAAATTCTGTGAATGCAAAGTTTCCAATCTAGGTCTTTTTTACACCCTCATAAATTTTCAAAGTGATCGAAAACTTGACAGCCGAGCTCCAAACAACCGAGCTCTGACTGCTGAAAATGGCCAAAATCTACTGAAAAGTAAAGTTTTGTATATTATTGACTGGTACTGTGTTAGTGAGAGTGCCTTTTTTTTACGAAATTAATAAATTTTTGATAATCTTTGATCAATAATGTACAAAACCTTTTTATTAATTTTTTTACATATCCCCTAACTTTAAGGGCCCCTGTAATCAAAGGGCCCCGAAGGTTTAGAAAAATAGAGGCACAGAATTTACGGAATTCTTTAGATTCTCCAAACATTCATTCCATTTTTTCCAGCACTTCCCTGAATCCCGCAATTCACGACCCGGATATGACCATGTTTTTCAATCGGAACGCTCCTCCTTTCCACACAAACTATGCAAAAAGGCACAGTCCTCCACCAAGCTACTCGTCGAGATCTAGTGAGTATTTTATTGAAATAGACGTTAGACTTTAAGAAAAAATGTGGTTCATGACAAATCAGAATGAACTAACAATTTCAGAGAGCCTAGAATTAGATGACACATGCTGAACTTGATTTTAATCTGTCTGGAGCCATACTCGTAAACCGGCTATTTGCAAGTCCCGTCATAGTTTCATTTAGAATCAATATTTCTGAACCAATTAAAATTAGATATGATAGAAATCAAAGAGCACTATGAAATGATATCATTTGGATTACTGTACCTTGTCTATGAACAAATTTACAAACCAAAAACCTTCTTTGCTACGCGGTCACAACTTTATGACCTCGTAACTTTGTTCATAGACATGATACAGTAATCCAAATAATATAATTTTTGTAGCACTCGTCAAGTTTAATCATACCTTTTTTAGTTGGTCTAAAAATATATAAAAACAATTATGGTAGAAGGCCCGGTTAACAAGTATTTCTGTGGACAAAAAAATTTCAGAACAAGGAAGTTTATCATCAACGACCTCTTCCACCAATCTTCCCACAAAACCTCAAGTATCCCGAAAGAACTTCCACGCCGGATGCTTCTTGTGCGTCTTCGTCGCGGCTCCTCTCATTTTTCTAATCGTATTCTACATGGTCCCAAGACTTGTAATCCTTGATCGAAGTTCGAAATTTTGAAACTTGTTTCGTTATGTATAAACACGGTTGGGGTAGAAAGCAAGTCGTATTTTATCTTCACAAAAATAAATCGTTCAAAATTTAATAGTATCATATCCGGGTCCTTGACTTCTTCTTGTCAAATGTGTAGAGTTAGGGGCGGTTGTACTCGAAACCTTGACATGTTTTGGAAAGTACATTAATAGGAAACATCGACGGGCCTGAGAAATTTACTGATGTTTTCAAATTAGCGGGTTAGGCGCGTACCTTGGTACTAAATGCCAAAAACAACCAGGGATGGATTAACGTAAGACCATCGCTGGTGTATGGAAGTAAGGTCACAGCGATTTGAGACCAAATAGTACTCTTGTTATTGTCATTGATCGCCAAGCGATTGAAAGTCTGAAATTTTTTTCGTTGTTATCTATCATATAACCTATAATAGAAGACCACTCTAACAGTTAAAATTAAGAACATTTTTCTGAATTTGTGTAGAAAATACAGTACCGGCCGATAAGACGTACACGAGAATTTGCGGCCATATTGATCATATTCAGGAGTCTGGAGCTCGACTGCCAAGTTTCCGATAACTTTGAAACCTTTGGAGGGTGTAAAACAGACCTAGATTGAAAAATTTGCACTTACAGAAACTTTGGAAAATTCCTAATTTTTTAGATACTTTACAATTTCTGAGAAACACCTATTTTTCAAGTTTTCAGTACAAAAAGGGCCCAAAACTGGGTGTCTTTCCGAAATCGACAAAAAACTGAAAAAATAGGAATTTTCGAAAATTCTGTGAATGTAAAGTTTTCAATCTAGGTCTATTTTAATCTTCCAAAGTTTTCAATATGGTCAGAATTTTGACAGACGAGCTCCAGACTTCTGAAAATGGTCAAAATGGGCGAGAATCAACTGAAAATTACGTGCTTGTATATCTTACTGTATCTTGGTTCTTGTAACAGATATCAAAAAATTGTTAACTGATAAAATGTTTTTCATAATACCATAATTATTTTGTGTTTTGATTTCTCTCACAGGAACACAGGAACGGAGATGAAAAGGTCAAAGTTGACGGAGGCTGTTCTATTCCAAGTTTTATGGTAATTTTGTCTTACCGTATTCGCATCTGCGATCAATTGAACGATGAACAACGCGCCACTGACAAAAAGTAAATTTCTTTCGGCAAGAGATATTTTATAGGTCATACAGGATAGTTTATAGAAAGATGCAACATTTATAATAGCTGTTGTAATTGTAACTATTGCAAAATATGGAAGCAAAAAGTTGTAAAGGTGCTCTCGGCTTGCTGTACTAGAAACCGTGTAACAATCCAAGGTTTCTGTATAGGTATAATAAGTGGAACTTATTAAAATTGTGTAAGTGAATGGGATAGGTAACAGAGAGACCAAGACAATCAAGAATTTGAATATTTTGTTCCAAGCCTAAAACAGAAAGTTGTGAAAATACAGTACCCACAAAATAAAGTATACTCACCTTCTCATAAGTAGAGCTCCAAATAATCATGGTGAACCTGTTTAGAGATGTCAAGAATATCAAGAAAAATTGCACATAGGCCATAGAAAAATGGATGAAATAGAAGAAATTCAACGGGAACCATGATGGATTCTCAACTGTATGCCATTTGAATAGAAACGACATCAAGCAGTCTTTACAAGTGTTCTGGGGTATTCGAACAGTGATGAACGAGTTGAAGAATGTTACATTGTTCTGAAATTTTATATTTTTTTTCCGGAAATAAGAATATAAGAAACTTACAAATACAAAGAACATCTTGTAGAGTTTCAAAAAGGTGCTCGAGAAATCTTTGGAATACTTTCGGACCATTAGAAATGTCATAAAGTAGAGGACCATCGAGGGTATACTGTAGAGAAGAGTCGTGCCAAATTTGATAGTAAGCATGTCTGAAAATGATTGTGTCTAGACGGAATTTTTGTGAGAATATCACTAGGGAGCGGATGTTTTGAAGATGTCAGAAAAAAGTACAAGAAAAAAGTTGTAAACAAAAATAGGTTTAATGAGGAAACGATTAGTAATAGAAAAAACATAAACTTTTATTCAGGGGGTTACTGTAGCGCCTGTTCTCAGAATCTAGACATGAATTGTTCTCTGCTGTAAATCTTTCCAAAATCCAATTTCCCGTTTCAATGTTTTCAAATTAGTTCTCCACATTTACAGCATCACCTGCTTTTGCGGTTTTATGTTTTCCAGAACAGCATGACTTATGACCGATCTTTTTTCAGAGCGACCTTTCAGTAGGCTTCCGGCTGAAATTGTTTTCAGAAAGCTTGCAGAAACATGTGGAGGGAAAGACTGGATTTTAGTGGATATGTCTGGTGAAGGAATCTACTGAAGCTCTGACGCGGCTCCCAGATTTGCCAGAAAGTGAATTTTTAGAATTCTGAAGTTGGAAATTGGAAAAGAGGTTCTCGAGGAGCTATTACTTATTTTTTTAACAAAATGAATGTTTACAAAATATCTTTTGGGGGCGTCGGTTATGTCATCGGAATTAATGATTTTGGAGTTTTTGATTTATTGTGATTCAAGTGTTCAGGAAAGTTTGGTTACTTAAATGTTCAGAAAAACAACTAGTCACCAAAGCAGAAATATTAAAAATTATGGACAATATTCGTTTACAGCCTCTCCCCTTATTTCATTGGAACGTCTAAACAAAGACTATGGAACATATTGAAATCTTCGAAATAGGTCCCGATTGATTTCAAAATCTTATGCTACGTTAGGAATGAACTTTGCCGCATTAATTTGGATGCATACGTTTGATACTCAGCCAAGTCAAAACAATATTGTACACTGAGATCCTAATGCAGGGTTATTGAATACCGTATTCCGGATGTCGGTTTCCGTATTTTGGGTTCCGGAACCCGAATTTCCGGATCTAAAATTCCGGATCACGGTTTTTTGATTCTGGATTATGTGTACTGGATTGAGTTTACCGAATTTTAAAATATGCACTCCGGATTCTGTTTTCCGGAATCCGGATTTTTGATTCCGGTTTTCCGGATAAGATTTTTGAATGAATTCAAATATCCCGAGAATTTGATATTCAGGTTTTCTTGACGAGCAAGAATTTCAGGAAGTTTTCAGGGGGTCAGAGAGTTTCTGAGATTCTTAAGGATTCTTTTTCTGGACAATCTTAAATTTTGTTTTTTGAAAGTCGTGGTAGTCAGGGCAGAGTCCGGGGCAGTCTCTCATAATCTTGGAAAATCTTATAAAATCATAAGTTGATTCAGAATCCCTAAGAATCTAAGAAACTTTCGTAACCTCCTAAAAACTGCCTGAAATCCTTGCTTGTCGAGAAAACCTGAATATCAAATTCTCGGGATATTTGAATTCATTCAAAAATCTTATCCGGAAAACAGGAATCAAAAATCCGGATTCCGTAAAACAGAATCCGGAGTGCATATTTTAAAATTCGGTACACTCAATGCAGTACACATAATCCAGAATCAAAAAACCGTGATCCTGAATTTTAGATCTGGAAATTCGGATTTCGGAATCCGTAAATGCGGAAATCCGACATCCGGAATACGGTATTCAGTAACCCTGCATTAGGATCTCAGTGTATGGGGTCAGATACTCAAAATTCTTCCAATTCAGGCCTTCAAAATGTGGCGACAGAGCTCAAAAACCTCGAAAATCTCACTTTTTCAGAGTGGAAGCATCATTTTGTGGATCGGCCAAAACGTGATTTTCGGAATTTTTCCGGTTTCTCGTCCGGTTTGGGTCACGTTGATGGCTCCAAACTTTCTGTACGTAGGTTTTGAAGGGAGACCTTTATTTTTCATGTTGACACCTTTTTACGAATATTGACCTAAATAGGTGTTTCAGTGCAAGCGAGGGGTGGAAGCATCATTTTGTGGAGCACTGTAGAATATGCCATAATTATGTTCGGCAGAGCAAATTTCAGAAAATCTATCTCCATTTTTTCCAACACGATTGAAATGATTAAATATACTTAAATTTTATCTTACAAAAACTAAAACACGCTTCTGAACAGTTTGAGTTGTTCTATCAAACTGATATCGTAGGCACTGATAACCTGAAATGACACAAATCGCGGAAATTCTGAAAGTGGGCGGAGATCGTGTTTTATGTGTGCCTGATTTTAGAATCGCACTACTATTTCAAGAAGAATGTTTCAAATGTCACCGTTTCTCTACAAGTCCAATCAGCTCAAATCGAGTCTGAAACATTTTTTAAAATGTAAGACCAAAAATTCAAAATGGGAAGAAGAAATCTCTTGAGAAGCCGACCACAGACTCCTCAAGAATCTGTGATTAAAAGGTCTAGGTGGAAGAACAAAGAATCGTTTTCGAGCCAAATAGCAATTTGTCTTGAATAGAAGTAAGTAGACAAGGTGATATTAAGAATAGACAGAATCAGAAGCAAACAAGTTCAGAAGATTTAGAAAAATGAGTATTAAGCTTAATGATAGACTTGTTTTTGAATTTCAGTATCAAGAAAAAATGATGATCGAGGTGTTCCAGAACTTTAGACCATAGTTGCAAAAGGTCGGGCCGGGCCGGTAGACGAATTATCTCGGCCCGGCCCGGTCCGCCTAACACAGTTGAAAAATTTCCAATCTCGACGGGCCGACCCGCGGGCCAGCTCGAGATTTCGCAACTATGCTTTAGACAGAGCTGTCAGCAAACTCAACATTTTGGAACCAGTAAGGGATTTAAACTGATATCGAAAAATATGTTCCGTTCATCGCTGAAAAATTACCGATTATTGATAAAAACTGCAGACAAATAGAGAACGAGACACCTGAAAAATAAACTTCCTTATTTATGCATTTGTCATTACAGGTGTATTGTTATGGTGTTAATTATAAACAACATTAAAAAGTTTAATGGATGTAAATAAACTTTTGTCTTCGAAGTTTTGTTCAACCCGGAAGTGCAATAAACATTCTGACTTGTGTCTAATGGACACCAGTGTACAACAATCAACATCAATCATGAAGGTCCGGATCTGAAAATCGCAATATCAAAACCGAAAAACAGTAGGCATTTTGCAACTTCGGCCTGCGTAGCTCAGCTATCGTACGACCGACCGACCGCGCGAAAATTTTGTCAAGGCCAGCCGTCCGTCGGTTTTGACAGTTTTGCCCATCTGGTAGAGACGCGGCGTTGGTCCACAAGTTTTAACAAAAAACTCTATGAGGGACTTCAACGAAGACAATATATATTTCCATGTTTATCTGAAAACGAATTCTCGCGAAATTTCAATATAAATAAAACATTTCAATATCAATAACCGGTTGGGGCAAATGAAAATATGAAAAAATGGTTTGAGAAAATACATCTGGACGACTAAGATGCAACATTTTGCACCTAATTGTCGAGTAATAAATCATTTGACATGTATACAACCTACGGTATATCTCAATCCGCACCCTGGTTTCTCACAAGGGAAGTGTTTTCAGAGGGGCGTTGAGAATTTTCTAAAAATTTCAGTACTGATAATTTGAGATATCCGCAACGCGATGCCAAAAAAATTTAGGTCATAGTATCATCAACAAGCTGAAAATCTTCGTCTGAAAATTTTTGGTCGATTTCGCCCTCTCCCTCACTCCACTATGCCCCTCTCTCCTATACGCACTCCGCGCCAGAGGAAAATGTAGGCTGTGTGGTGTTGTGGTAAGAGGGAGACTTATTAGGAGTGACTATGGTGGTTCGAACCCCACTGTGGTAAATCATTTTTTTGTTTTTTTTTCGAGACGAATTTTCGATATCCATTTTGGTCCCCTGAATAATAAATTATACTTATTTCATGAATTCCCGACGTTTTCAAAGTGAAAAAGAAGGCGTTTGAAATTTTGAAGAATTTTGAAGAAATTTTGAAATATTGTTTTTTTCGACTTGTCCTATCGCCCAAAAGCAAAACTTTCGACTCTCGGAATTGCTCCGTCTTGCTCTTTTTTGAGTGGAACACCACAAAATCTATCACCCAAATGATCTTTACATATTTCTGTGTATTCCGTGCGATTTTGAGCAATATTTGAGAAGCTACAGTTCTTCAAATTTCTTGCAATTATCAGATTTTGGGGAATTATCAGGGCTCACAGACGAAATCGAGCTGCCAAATTCTGTGAAAATGATGTTTCTATCATTTCTGAATGTTTGAAAGACTTTTTTGCACTTTCAAAAAAAATTCTCGAAAAATCACTTTTAAAGTGTGGGGTACCCCATGATGATTTTTTTCAAAAAAAAAAATCGAAAATTTTTTTTTTTGAAATTGTCCAAAAATTATTTAAGATGATAGAGAAATGATCAAAAAAGAGTTTCCCGCTTGAAAAAATCCTGGAAAAGGAGTTTTAAAGCTCGAAAAATGCACGTTTTTGGTCAAAATTTAGTACTGAAAACACTTTGAGAGCCCATATTTTTGTTCCTATTAGGGTTATGACCGAGATATTGCTGAAATCGTATTCAGCATGTTCAAAAGTACCTTTGTATAAATTTTGAGCTAATTCTCAACGCCCCTCTAAAAACACTTCCCTTGTCAGTTCAGCTCTAGAATGTTCTGCAATCGCATTACGGTCTATTTTTAATAGAATCTTCTAGAACATTCCGATTTTCGATATACAAAAACTATCTTTCTTTTTCGGGAACGATCAGTTTTATGGTTTTTATGATCTTTGAATGTGGTTGGTTTAGGCCGTTTTGCCGCTCAATACTGTTTTGGTATACAGCTTTTTTTCAGTTTGTAATTCTTGAATTTTCTGTAAATACAAAATGTTAAAATTACAATCAGCGGTGTGTGACATAAATTGTCAGAGTTTCTGAAAATTCGAAAAATCCATGAATTCTTGGAATGAAATTGGGATTGTAACGATTGCAACGGTCTGAAATTAAAAAAAATCTACTCTGAAAATCAAG